ATGTCCTGAAAATGGGAACACCCGCTCTAGATGCGTAAGGACCCAACCTATTATCCCTACTTCCAAGGTACATCCACTTTTACATTAAAAAAATTAAATATTATAATCTAATAAATATTTATGATGTGAATTTGAATATAAAAAGTATATTTTTAATTAAGAGATGATCCTAAAAAGAATTGTGTGTTGTGTGTTGTTAATGGTAATTGAAAGGATGATTAGGTTAAATAGAGGGTGTAATGTTGTTGTGGAGTTGTTATAGGTGAAAGGTTTGGCGTTCAACAGATATTCATGGCTGACAACTCATAACTCATTTGCTCAATCTGGCGTTAAATCGGAAACAGGATCAATCATTATAACCACCACAACACAGGAAGACACAGTAACTCAACAACTCAATGTGAGACTTGTTTCTCTTTTCTCTCACCCCCCATTTTTATTCTCTTAGCTCTTTTACTATTATTTACTTACACTACCTTCCATTTTAATTTTCACACCAACATTTCACGTAACAAATCTTATTCTTTAAAATTCTATAAATTACATCTTAAACATTCTTCAACTTACGTTTTAAATGCTAAATATTTTCTTATTTTTTTGGTTTCATTAAAGTAAAGAAATATCATACTCAAATAATTTTTGTATTGCCAAACTTAAGACTGCAATTAACTTAAACAAAGTGCACGGTTTTTTTTTTTTTACTTTACTTCAAACTTCAAAATAAGATAGGGCATAGAAGGAAAGAAAGTTAAGTAAATTGATAAACGATCACACCTAGATCTAATTATAATTTTGATCCCTTATAAATTTTCATTTGATCATGGGTGGGTTATCGAATTTTTATTTTCCTCTCTATTTTTTTATGGTTTAATAAATTTTTTGTTGATATTTTAGATTACCACACAAAGCACTAAATAAATATTTTTGGGGATAAAATGTTATTAGGGACAAACATAATAACAGTTTATTAGGAATAAAAAAATCTTATAATTTGTCAAGGATTAAAATATATTTAAGTAATATTATTTTATTATAAACCGAATTCTCAATCATATGTACACAGTTTTTCTTTCTAAATTTTTGTTCACTATACTTCTTTTAGTTAGGTAAAAATATGTTTTATTTGTATCTAACTTACTTTATAGCACATGACCCCATCAATCTAACTTGGAAATCCACCACTCCTAGAGATGTTTTTAAAAAACTTGTACAAAATAAGAGAATGTGACATACATGAGTCCATATTTTCAAAAAATTAATATACTTAAAACAAGGGCCTCCCATAAGATAATAATTAAATTGAGTGAAAGAAACAAGAAGCAATTCGTTAACTTTGGTAGTATTTTATCCACATTAATCAAAATCTTCAATGAATTATCCCTAAATATAACGTTAACTTAATAACTGTGCCAAATGAAGGTGTTCAACATTACGAGACTTAAGAGACTCGATTTGGGTAAGTGTATATTTTTCCATTCATTCCTCATTTGGATATTAATATTTTGAAACGCAACAAATTTTTACACCAATTTAACATTATTTTTTATCATCTTTTTTTTATATAAATACAAAAATTCATTTTTTATGATTATTTTATTCTTATAATCAGAATGTCTTTTTGTGTAAAGAGTGTTTGTCTTCCTCATTTCCACTGCGTTATGATTTTATGCACAGAATGGAGTTCGTGGCCTTATGTTAGATATGTATGAATTTAACGATGACATATGGTTGTGTCACTCCTTCGGAGGCAAATGTTACGAAGCGACGTCGTTCGTAAGTGCTGGAGTTACCTTACATATATATCTGGTAAATTTTTTGTGAAATGTAGAATCTCTAATTTGTCTGCATATAAACCATGCGTGCCAGAAACGTGCTATAAACGTGCTTAAAGAAGTTGAAGCCTTTCTGGCAGCAAATCCATCAGAAATTGTGACCATCTTCATTGAAGACTACGTGTCATCACCGACGGGGATTTCAAAGGTGTTTAACGATGCTGGGTTGACCAAGTACTTGTTTCCACTGTCGAGAATGCCCAAAAACGGTGAAGAATGGCCAACCGTCGATGACATGGTTCAGAAGAATCAACGCTTGCTTGTTTTTACCTCTAAATCATCTAAAGAAGCTTCCGAAGGCATCGCTTATCAGTGGACATACGTTGTAGAAAACCAATGTGAGTTTCATAATTTTTATTTTTGTTTTTGTCAAGAACCCTAATATCGTAGGATTGTGTATGGAATCTGATTAATTTTCAGATGGAGATGGCGGAATGGTAAATGGTTCTTGTCCAAATCGTGGAGAATCTCCAGCTATGAACACGAAATCAAGGACATTGGTTTTGATGAACTATTTTCTGAGTAATGCTAATGCAACTTCGACTTGTGCTCACAATTCGGCTCCATTAGTTAACATGCTGAAAACTTGTCATGATGCTGCTGATAATCGCTGGCCGAATTTCATTGCCATTGACTTTTATATGGTATTAAATTACTTTAATATTGCATTTCATTAATTTCATTGTTTTCTGAAAATACTTGCGTTGATAATATATGTACTTGAAAGAGGAGTGACGGAGGAGGAGCCCCTGAAGCTGTTGACATAGCCAATGGTCACTTAACCTGCGGATGTGACAACATTGCCTATTGCAAGGTTACCATCTTCTCTTTCTATTTTACATCCATAAAAAACAAACAAAATCAAAACTTATAACTTTCTTGCCATATTCTTTCTAAGGCATATGTTATATATGCTAATATACTTCCATTTACTATGATGACAAATATTTATTACACTGGTTTTAAATTTGAAAACTAAGTATAATACATTCTAAAAGTTACAAATATTGATAAAATAATAAGCCAGATATTGAATATATTGTTTTAAGGAAAAGTTATGCAGGAAAATGCCGCATATGGAACATGTGATGTGCCTCCAATTTCTCCACCGCCACCGGCGGCTGCTCCCCCGGTCGCAGTTGTAAAAAATGCAGAGCCACCGGCGGAGGAAGAATTTCATGTGGACACCCCTCTCAAGTTGCTGAAATTTTTATGGGTAAGGCTTCATGTGGACCACTTTCTTGATTTGGCTAAAACTTTAACAAACCAAATTACTAACACTGCTTAATTTTTCAGAAGTTGTTGCTAAGGTTGTATCATGACCAAGATTGAAAAGGCATCTTCAAAATACATTAGAGGAAGATTATAGTTCGTGGGAACATATTTGAGGATTTCTTTTAATGAATTGTGTAACTAGTCCATTCCTCCTTTTCATATTTCTGGTTATTTTCGTTTGGCAGGTTTCTAGACTATATGTCTGGTTTCTAACTAGCTACTACATGGACATAGTTCTCCATCTTTTTGTGAAAACTCTTAAGCTTATAAACCATTTCCTATTACAAAGTAAATATTAAGTAAGATATATCTTCAGTGAATTGTTCACTGGTTCTTCAATTTCTTGCTTGATTTTATAATTTAAACTACTGCCAAACCTGTTCATATGTTTTGATCATATAAGTATTGTAAAACAAGTTAGATTTGTCAATTCAACCTATATGTAACTATTATTTTAATGGATTGGGTTAGGGTCTTCTACCACCAACATATTTTGACCCACACGTTTGTGAAGAAAACGTACTCATGAGGTTAAAACTCCATAATAAGATACATTCTTTCACTTTTTAATTAAACATTTTACCAAGATTGAACCAAGTGAAGAAGGAATTGACAGGGTAAGATGTGCTTGAAAACAATTTCAAAAACCATCATATTAATCTCGTCTTTTCTTCTATGTTTTCTATTCTCTTATAAATTAAGTGTGTATTTTTTTTTATCTTAAGTTAAAACACTTATTCTATGATTTTTCTATTGTTGATTATTTTAAAATTAAAAGAAAGAGGAGAAAGAATAACTCATTAGTAACATTTAGTTTAAATGTTGATTTATGTGTGTTATATTTGATTAAGTCATGTGTATAACACACAATAAAATCAATTATTTAGAGTTTAGAAAGTGTGTAATAGTTAAGAAAAAAAACCTCAATCTATTATTTCTATTTTAATTTAATTTACACAAAAAGAAATGATAAAGAAATTTTTATATACTAGTGAAAACATATACACGTACATGTATGTTTATTTTTTTGATAATAAAAAATAATAAAATTATTATTATAATTATTGTTATTATTTAATTATAAAATTAAATGGTTAAATTTTAAAAACCGTCAATTAGAAAAACATGGTTAAATTTAAAGAAATCATCATAAAATTGATAAAATAGTTATTTTAATTATAAACAAATTATTTAAAGGATAAAATTAAAAAATAAATATAAAAAAGGTTTCAAATTGTTTCTAGTTTATGGATTATCTTGTCTTAATTATCATGATAACATTAATTTTTTTTTCACCTTTTAATAAAAAAGCTTAAAAATACATTGCCTCTGAATTAAGGGGTTGAAGAAACTTTGGTTCATAATATAATTACATTTTTATGTCAATCCTATTTAAGAATAACAAATAAACTCATTCTCATGAATATTTTTTGAATTGGTTTCATTTTAATAATAAATTTCTACATATTGATTGAACATGAATGTTTCAATTAAATATGAAGATGAGTATATATTTTAAAAACAATTTTTTTAAAAATTTTGATCAATTAATCCAATTTAATCTAACCGCTCAAGAATAAGTTGGACTGAATTGAATTTAACCTTAAAAAGCATACGAAAACACAACTTAATCCGATATGTCGATTGAATAATATATTTATCTAAATCGTATTCACCCTACGAACGAACACACTACTCACTAATTTTGTGTGATGGAGCGATAGGATAGAAAGTAGTGGTGTGATAGAGTGATTATTTAAGATTTCTTTTCATGGGTGATTTGTTCATAATTCAGAAATTGTGAAACGTGGTTAAATTCGGTACGCAAAAGGCCTTAAAGAAAACATTCACATTCGCGTATGAAGTTTAACTAAATAATAAGATTGCAAAGCATTGAAATAAAAGATAAGGATGGTTTATTATTATCAAGACCTGGAAAGAATAATGGTTTTACCATCATAAATATACAGATAACTTATTTTGGAAACAGTCATAACGCATAGAATACATTACCATATCAAGAAATTTCTTCCGACTTTTTCTTCTTTTGCCTTATTACTGTAGCTCCCCAACTGGCGCCTCGTTGAGCCACAGGAAATGAATGAAGTCGTATAATTTTGCACTAACACTGACCTACTTATGATAAAAAAGAAAAATCAATCAACATGAAAACAAAAGCAAAATTGTGAGCATGGTAAAACTTTTTGACCTTGTATGGAGTTGGGTTAAGTCTCCTCATGTGGTCAGGTCGCATTATCTCGAGTTGCTTGATGCACCGCTCTCTAATGTCTCTCAGAGCTGGTAAAGTATCTTTCTTTTCATCTTCAAAAAAGAATCAGCAACATGGTAAAGAAAAGAAAAAAAATGACGGCCATGAGCAGGGTAATGAAGTGGCAGGTTTACAAGCTACAATACACTTGGCTAATTACGAATCATGGGATTGTCCTTACAAAGGATGTAATCTCAGATAAACAAGATAGATTCACTGTATGTGTATGTATGGATAGATAAATAATAAAGAAAATATTTTTCCATAAGCTAAAATTTATTTATAAATAAATTAAATTGCAGAAGCTCTTCTATACCTGTTTCATATTTTTTGATAAGCACACTAGCTTAGCTTCATATTAAAAGATTATTTCTTATAATAATATCAATAAGCTATTACTGATCTCCATGATAGTTAATAATTAGTTCTCTTCTCACCTGAATTGCCTGGCCAGTAACACCTTAAAAGCTCCTCGACTTTCTGCGGCACAACGTATGCTCTCTTGGATTCTTGAAAGGGATGTCGGCACAGGATTCTTTCTCCCACCTACAAATCAAAGATGATAAAATAATTGTTAGGCCTTATTTTTATACTAGCAAAACCAACTCTCATCGAAGCAAGATTGACAAGCCAAGAGGATGGAACTTTACATTCTAAGAGCAATGAGAGAATGTTGCCAAGTAGTAGGTCCATTATTTGGATTTATATTATGAAAAAGGGTGAAGAATAGCAATTGAGTATGGTCAAATTTTCCAGAACAACAATATTGGAAGTTCTATCAAAAGTTGCCTCTACATTACTAAGTGCGCATTCAGTTTTGTCATCTAATCCGCCCACAACGAAACCCATGACTGTTTTAGGCACTTCATCAGTGTGCCTAAGAAAAATCACTTCAATGCTTAGCTAATACAAATAAACAATTACATGCTTAAACAAAAACATGACAGTTTCTTCAGACTTGAGACTACTACTCCAAGGCGACAGTCCTAAAAAAAGAAATCTCATTCACCAGAATCCCAACTTGGCATGCTAGTGAAAACATACATAAAGCCGTTACTGACAAGTAAAATTAACAACCCTGACTGGAGGAAAGGGTGCAAAACATTGAAATAATACCTTTGGAGGGGGCTCATTTTCTCCAGTCATTATGTCAACCAGGGGATAACCTTCTTTTCCATACAACCTATAGCATCGCTTTTTACATGGAATAGAGACCTAAATACAGACAAAGAAACAGAAAATATAAAAAATAAATATTAATCAGACGATTACACTATCATGTTCAGTTTAGAATGATCAAACCTTTGACACATCTTCAGAAAGTTTGATACGAGGTTGATTATTTATTTCAACCAGCTTGAAAACAACACCTAATGCAGCTTGAGCGTAACACGTAACCAGATAGGTACCAATTCCATAGGCATCAACCTCATGACCCTGTAGAGAAAATGCCATACAATAAAATATTTATGACATGAAACTACATATTCTTTGTGTAAATTTATATAAAGTCTTGGCGTTTTCATTTTAAACCTCAACACATCATCACAAAAGATTAATACATATAAAATTCCTATTGAGGGATTCCACCAAAAGCCTAGATATGTAGATGTAATAGATTTGAGAAATTTACAATGAAAATAAAGTATAAACTGATGAGGCCCAGAGAATGAGTGGGCTTCCTCCCACGGTGGGGAAAAGTATACGTGAGAAAGAAGAATCCAAGGGCTGAGGTGGCAGGTAGTTAGAGGAGAGAGAAATCGGGAGGGGAATAGAGAGATTCTATTTGTATTCAGTTTTGCTGAATGTTGGGGGAAGGCGGGATTTTGGTTGAGAGAGTAGAGGAACCGTTTGTTTCTCTAGAGAGGAGCGTAGCTCTGGGTGGGATTTGTTATCCTTCTATTTCCTGTTTTTGTTAACAGAATAATACATACATCAGCGTTCATTTCATTCCTTTCTTTTTCTTCAAAGCTTTTAAGGTGTGGGTCTGTATCAATAAACCAACCAATAATGTGCAATAGCTATAAAAGAATTTCATGTAACACTGAAATTACTCAATGGGAACACATCTACGGCGAGCAACAAACACAGACACTGCTCAATTGTTAGACTGATTGAGAATCAATAGTTCAGAAATAACAAGTTCCAGTTTGCATTGACTAATTACCTGTTTGTTTAAAGCATCTAGTGTTTCCTCATTGAGGTCATTACTTGCAGTGATTGCCAGCTTCCCAAATTCAGGCACTCCAAATTCCTTCTCAATATTGCGAAAGAACTTCCTGACCTCACAAGACAAATATGCAAGGTCACCAGAGTCCAATCTAATACCAACTGCTTTGTATCTGCACGGTACATCATGAAGGCTCAGCAATGAATGGCAATTATGTGATTCTTTGGAAATGATGTCTTTTTTAAGGGAATGAACATGAGGGTACTAAGAGACTAGTTCAAGCCAAAGGTATGACTCCCTTAGTTCCCTTTTGTCTTTTAAGGTTCTTTTACCGGAACTAAGAAATATAATAAATTTTCTTGATTCTAATAAAATAGTTGTATAGTTTTCTATTTTACTCCATTCTCTCTCAATCTAACACTATAAATGCATGTGTAAATTATTTAAAAATTAATGTAAGGGTTAAGGGTATAATAGGAAAAAAAGTAAATGTTATTCAAATTCTTAAAAGGAACAATTCTTTTCCAAAATTAAGACAAAAAAGAACAGAGGGAGTGCAATTTATTGATTATAGAACAGGATGCGAGAAAGAAGAGATCTGCAGTAAATTAACAACAGGCTGGTGTAATCTTCAAATTGAAAATAACATTATAGCCTACATATAATCTAACATTATTTGCCAAAAGGAAAAAAAAAAAATAATACAAGCACATGGAAAAAGGATTCTCAACGAACAAGATACTTGCAACAATATACACCAAAGTTTGCATAAAGAAATTATGTAACAGCAAAAACAGGGCAATTGTCTAATAACCGAGGAAACATTATACATAAGCAAGCCCATTTGATAAAATTTTCAGGAAAATTTTGCATTAATGTTAAGAAAAACCAACCAACTGCAACTACGAGTTTAGATATTGAATCCAGTACATCCTAATCAAATCCAAATGAGGATTGCCATTACATCCATACTTCTAGACTGGTGGCTACTACTGCTATTGATTCCTCCCAGAACATCTATGCATATACTCCCACATAATATAATATTTCATTCATTTGGAAAAGAAAACAAAACTTTGTATCCCTACCAACTAAGAAACAACAGGGACGAGGGAACAATCATTACAATAGAAATTCATACTAGTGTATAACTTAGGGATACAGTCGGATATAATAATAACATGAAATACTTCCTGACATACCCTAAGTCACTGAGAGCTAATGCAACTGCACAGAAGTTAGGGATTCCACTTCTTATCACCTGTCAACCAATGCAAATGTAATGGTCTGAAGAAATTGCTGAACAAGTAAAAAAAATAAAAAATGAACCTATGAAAAAGCAAACCCGTCATTTGATATAATGACATAACATAATAACTGATATAACAGTACGTACATTTGCAAAGCTTAACACTTTCAAAATTAGCGTATACAATAAAATAATAGGCAGGCAGAAGTTGGAGGGCAATAAGTGTTGCAATATTCAAGAGTAAAATAGGTATGGCATCACTTATGCACCTTAGGTATGATTTGCAACACTATTCACCCAGCCTGAACTTTGTACCTCTGTTGCATATAAACGATCCATTCAGTAGAGTTATACTCTATTTGAAAACTGAAGGCACACTGACCAGTGATCAGTGTCTCTGAGTATTGAGCACAGCACTACCCTCCCCATCCACACATCTGTTAAACACATAACTAAAGGAGATAATTCATGTATGTGGTCCATGTGCTTATGCATCTTTGTCTTTTATTAATGTGCAACTTAAAGTATATGCATATCCTAGGAGCAACGGAAAATAGGGGTTGGGTTACCTCTAATACCTACACAGATTTATAAGCACAGGACAATTCACTCATCTTCCCAGTTATCTAAATCACCTATCACTTGCGTCTCAAAGTCAAATTGAAAAAGGATCCCATAACTGATTCATTTTTAGCTTGTATCAGTTTCCACTTTTATTTTTAGTCACGCCATCTTCATCAAAAAATCAGAACTAGTTCATAAGACATAAATGACGGAAAAACAAGGTTTACCCATAATCATCGGACATTTCCAGGTATAATAGATTATATATAATGATGGTTATTTAAGAACTAGAAAATCAGTATACTTACATCATATGTATCTACAAGGGCAAGAAAATTATCAGGAAATGCCAATGCATACGATGTGAATGCTGCCAACTCGCTCTGATTGGTCTCACCAAAAACACCATTTGATAACTGCAGAGATGGAACACATAAGTTATTCACTGGTAAATCCATTTTGATTTTGAGAGCGCAAATGCTAAACAAACAACGGAGTGATGGCTTACAGCATTGGCCTGAAATGTTTATTCATTTCTTTTTTCAGAAAGTGGGGAAAAGTTTAGCACACATGAAAATCAATATCTAAAATACCTATATCATATTAGGAATGACTTTATTTGATGTATACCTATTCAATAAAGTTCTATTGTCTTAATTTTCTGGTTATCCAGGCGATAATATTCCAACTTCATACGAAAAATTTAAAAGTGGAAAATATTTTTTTCCTGTGTAGAATGTCCATTGAAGGATCAAAACACTCCTTAATCCATGTATGTAAATCGCATAAAACAATATCATGTGTAGCACAGTTACCCCAAACCTTTTTGTTAGGATGACAGCATTCTGGGAATGCTTTCTACACCAACTAATGGTGAAAAACCTTAAACTCAATGCTTGAATAAAACATGAACCCACCCAAAACCTTGCGTGGAGACTGAACACACCATGCTCCCCCACAGACATAAACACACCAAAAAATAGAAACAGGAGATAATTCAACTATGGCAGAATAACAACATTAAGGATGTAAATGTTGTATCATGGCACCTGAATTTTACTCAGCCATGTTTGAACCTCAATAACAAAATCATCACACGTACTTGAACCATCTTTTCTGCGAAGTGACTTGTCTGAAATCTCGTCAAGGTTCTGCACAAAAGTACACAAAAAAGAGTAAGCAAACAAAAAAATAACAGAATGCCTCATTTACTGTAAGCATATAAATTACAACAAAATAATCAACACAAATCACATATAAAGGCGGCTAGAAATTACAAGCCAGATTTTGGACAGAAGCTCCAAATTTATAAAAAATGGGATCTACAAATCACAGGTTCAGGAAACAACTATAGGGTAAGGATGCAACAACTCCGCTCCCTAGATTCCTGGGCAGGGAGTCTTTTGTGCACTTGGCAACTGTTTTTTAAGGGGACCTGCCTTGGTGTTTCATAGTTTCATTTGGTCAAAGTCAAAAACTCAAAATTTGAATCTACAGATCTGATCTAACTGCGTATTATTTTGGAAAATGAATAGGAAAAAACTTTCATATGATCCCTCTGAATTCTACAATTGCAGTTGTCACAGTCCAATCTTGATCTACAGTGTAAATGTTTTAACTTCCTAGACCTACGTTTTTGTAATCTCAAATGAGGTTCATAAATGCATATGACAAATTGAAATGACTTTAATTGTTATGACTTAAAACCATATTCACACTGAACTACATAGCAGTGCCTCTTCACTAATCAGTGTATTCTTCCAGGACAAATTTCCAACTATCTTTCTTATAACAAACAATCACATACAATTTAGTGCCTTTAGACATGTTGAAAGGAAAAATTTAAACAGAAACTATATTCTTTCATCTATATAGGGGATATGTACGTATTATATTTTACAAATAACAAGCGTACTTATTGGAAATTGTTTACATGATCATTAACCAAATATGTAACATAATTCAGTAAATTGGTTACGCACCATGTAAGAACTAACGAATGCATGGGAATGAGTACCACGAAGCGGTATCCCAAATAACTTTCCAGCTGCAACATTGCTATTGACACATGAAAAAGGCAGTTTATGAAAGAATAAAGCATAGAAAAAGTCAGAAACAAAAACATTCACCAAACTAATAAAACAGCCAACCTCCCCCTTCCCTAAAAATGAAATTTTTCCCTGATCATTCAATTTGAGCATACAGCCCCAAAATCTAGGATTATAATATGAAACCTCAGTGACTTTTGAGTTATTAAAATATCATATCTTACCATTTTGTGCAAACAAAGTCTGACTTGATCAAATTAAATTGCAGGTAAATAACTTCACTTATCACATATAAGTAATGGGTACAAGGGAACTAGTGTAGGCCATCTCTCAGTAATATGATTTTTTTTTCTTTGTCTACTCTATCAAGTTGTATTTAATTTTAAGTAGTTCATTATTCCTAGGGTGATTACAATGATAAAAGATAAGAAACAAAAGTGCAAATAACACTGAAAAGGAATAGCAAACTATGGGTTCTTTCCAAATCAACAATCTACAAAACTTTGTAACCAACGTCTCTATGGAATCAAACTTAAAACAGTAAGAAAAAAAAATAATAAATAAAATCAAGTTCTGTACTGCACTATGAAATGGAGCTACAGTCATAAGTTATTGTTTGCAAACTGATGGCGTTATTTGTGTGACAGAAAATGGACCACTTGATCATGAATTTACCAAAGTTATTTGAATCATGCTAAAAAAAATTCTAGCACATGGGAAACATTTAGCTTAGATCCAATTACAATGTACAAACTAACAGACCATGTCACAAAACCATGCCCTTTCACCAAAATCACAGCAAAGATAGTATCTTTGCTGTGATATATTATAAAATATCCCAATTTGAAACATATTTAATTAACACTAACAATTACACTATAGATAAATTGGCATTGAGAAGAAGCATGACATCTGTTCTACTGTACCCACCATGCTAGAACTAAATTGCTTAATTGATAATACCTTGTTGCATCAAATCCACCAATATAGCAGTACTTTGATGCTCCTATTCCCCCATCAGGCCCCTAAATTAAAAATAAGAATCTCTTTTAATGAATATCAAAGAAGCTAAGTTATCCCAAAATTTTACTAATTAAAAAACTACATAACCTGAGCCCTCCGCAATCCAAACTCCAGAAGAGTTTTGGATTTTCCAGCAACATGACGATGCCTTGCAGCATTAGTAGAAACTAATGATGCATAATTAATTAGATTCACAAAAGGTGTTTCCAACAATTGAACAACCTGAACAATATGACAGTCAATTTAATTAAGAAATTGGTCATCTTTGAAAGCAGATCAGTATTAAAGTATGGTAGTTAATGGCAGGCAAGTACTCACAGCAATTGGGCCTTCAACTCTCATCAGGGGAACCTTGGGGAAAACAACTGTTCCCTCGGGAATAGCATAAACCTCAACATCAGAACAGTCAACTCCTCTAAGATAGTCAAAAAATCCATCCTAGATTTAATTGATTATTATTAACATGTCAGAATATTTCCAAGTGCGAATCTAAATAAAACTGCAAGCAGTATTAAACTTTCCACAGAATTAAAGCACACCCAACTACCGGCCATATTATTTCAGATTTTCATGGCCCAATTCTTTTTTTAAAAAAGAAACAAAAACCTTCAACTCTTTCTATCCTTTAGATATCCTAAAATTAGATTCCAGCATGTCTAGTTTAAAGTTCTGACACAGATGACATTAAGGATAAAGTTTCTGCTTTTTACCTACATCATTTCCTATTATTGAAAATAATGTTACAAATTCCCGGTAGACGGAAACTTCAAATCTTTACACTTAAACCACCCTACTAACCACCGTAACAAAACGAGGAAGTTACAGCTATAACAAGTACCATAATTTACTTTACCTCACAAGAGGAAGATAAACTTTGCCTGACAAAATCAATCTCCTCCTCAGTGAGCTTGAAATTAGCTATGAACCTTATGCACTCTTCCAAACCAGCGAAGACGGTATACTCCCCACCGAACGGATTCTTCCGAAAATACAAATCGAACCTGAAAGGAAACACGATCCAATATTCTCACAAACACACACATGCATTCCAACATTAAAACAGTGATTAAAACGCCGAAGAGAATAACCATTATGCAGCCACAGATAAATCAAACGCTATCCCAACAGAAGACAATGAAAGCACTCAATACAGCAAAAGCACAAAACGACAACTATTATTCGCAATTTCACGTGCACTTCATCGGCAAGAAAACGCAAACGAAAAAAAAAAAAACGACGAATACTGACACGGCACGTTCTTGATGCTTGCCAGCTTTCCAGTAGGCGTAAGCCATGGTGAATTGATAGAGATCCGTGAGCAGAGGCGTAACCATCGGGTTCGTAGGTCCATCTATGACGCCACTGGAAGGCTTCTTGTTTGCTCCGTTCTCCTTCGCCTCCATTAGGGTTCTGGCGCTCGTGCACTCTCTGCTGCGACAATTAGTCCTTGTGTGGTCTCTGTTTTTAGTGTTTCGGTTTTTAGTTGCGTTGGGTTGGTTTAATTTATCACCTCGCGCGCGTTCTACTTATATAGTTGGTTCGGATGGAAGCGTGAGCGTCACGCACGAAAAGGGGAGCTGCGGCGAAGAGAGGAGAGAGAAAGTGGCATATACTTTCTTATAACAATACTTCTAAGCAAGTCCTTGGTCCTAAGCCCAGACTATTTGAACTTTGAACTTGGATGAAGGAACCAAGAACAGAGAAAGCTTGAATAAGACAGACAGAAGCAGGTTGGTTAGTTGTTGTGTATTCTTGGGGCCAAGGTGCAGTGTTCGTTGCACTGGCAAAAGCCAAAAAGAGGTTAAAAAGCTTTAGCAATCTTGTTTTATAACTTTCTCCAAAATATATAAATCTAATCACCCTGTTTAGGAAAAACATGTGCTCTGTTACTATCACTGTAAAATAGTTTATACTATCAACATAAAACATTATATTTGAGGTAATTATTATAAAAAAAAAAAAATCTATACAGTAATTTGATTGAGTAAAATATGAAAAGCTGATTAATGCTTTCGTTTTTTAAAGTAAATATTTAATTGTTTTTAATATATTTTTATTTTTAATTTTGTTGGCAATGTTGTTCCTTAAGTGAAATCGATATTAATGTGTGGTTTGGTAAGTATAAACATCTTAAACTTTTATTTTTTTTTTCTCAATTTAAAAAAAAAAAATCCTTTTTTCTTCACTCCACCCCTCCATTTATGATTTCTCATTTTCTGTACAACAGCGAGAGAAAATCAGCTTCTCATCCTTGCAAATTATTTCTAGGTTATCACTTTTCTCATCCTCTTCTCTTTAGTCTCCTCTAGAAAAAAAAAACACAGCTTTAGATTATTCAAGCTCTTTGTTTTTTTCTTGTTCAAGATTATGCTGTAAAATTTCGAAACTCACAAGTGTCAGCCACGTTTTAGTTTAAAGATTTGTGCGCTGACCCTTGAAAGGTTCTATTTTTTAAAAGCTTGGAGTAGTTCTTACTCATAAGCCATTCATTGGTCCAATTTTTTTTTCTCTTTACAAAATTTCAAAGCTTTTGTTATTTTCTACCTGATACTGTTATTTTACATCCAACAAATAATTATTTTTACATTATTTTACTCCTTAATTTTTTTTCCTTTACAAATACAAAAACTGATTCTTTTTTAATAAATAAAATACCTCTAAAACTAAATTGTGAATACTTGTACTCTTTTATTGTGGTTATGGTACTATTATTATAGCGGTCTAAATGAATCATCTTAAATCATCGAATCTTATATTAGATATGAGTTACCTTTTAGATTAGTTATTAGAAAGAAGTTATATATATATATATATATATATATGGGTTTGCTAACGCGCGTACGCCTGTTTTTCAGTTGGTACATTTTAGCAATGTGTACCGGGTTTTAGCAGACAAAAATATCCTTATATATCATGATTCCAAGTTTTAAGGTTAAGGGTATTTTAATAATTTTCATTCTCAAAACTTCAAAAAAAAAAAAAAGAAACCCCCCAAACCCTTACTCACCTCTCTCATTCCTCTCAATCCTTTCTCTTTCATCTCTCTCACTCCAATCTTTTCTCTGTCATCCCTACCTATAGCCCCAATTGAAAAAAATCAAAAACATTAAACAATCTTACAAAAAAATGATTTTATAATGAGTTTTCATCTTATAATTTTTGTTTTATCTAATTTTATCCAATTTTCACAAGCATAAAGGAATTGGTAATTGACCTGGAAAAAAATCACAAATACTCTTTGTTAAACAGTTTCTTACAAAAAATGATTTTACAATGAATTTTTATTTTATAGTTTTTGTCTTATCTAATTTTCACAAGCATAATGACATCAAAGGAATTGGTAATTGGCCTGGAAAAAAATAAAAAACACTCAATTGTTAAACAATTTCTTACAAAAGATGACTTTATAATGAGTTTTCATTTTATAATTTTTGTCGTATATAATTTTATCTAATTTTCACAAGCATAATGACATCCGAAAGAATTGATAATTGGCCTGGAGGGTTTTTTTAGAGATTATGATTCAACAAATACAGATGATGAAATTAGAGAGGTTAGTGAAGATGGTGAAATTGAAGAGATTTTGAATGAACCTTTGCCTTGAAGGTGAATATGTGAAAGAGAAAGGATTGAGAGGAATGAGAGAGGTGAGTAAGGGTTTGGGGGGTTTCTTTTTTTTTTTTGAAGTTTTGAGAATGAAAATTATTAAAATACCCTTAACCTTAAAACTTAGAATCCATTATATATAAGGGTATTTTTGTCTACTAAAATCCGGTACACATTGCTAAAATGTACCAACTGAAAAACAGCCGTACGCGCGTTAGCAAACCCCATATATATATATATATATATATAATTTCAGTCTAACACACATAAGATATTTGATATCATTTTTAACTCAAATTCTTAAAGCAATGTATTTATAGATTTTTCATTTTATAGTGTTTGATTTTATTTTATTTACAAAATATTAAACTTTTGACTCACATTCACACTTAAATTATTCTTAATAATTTCTTCATAAATAATTCGAGTCTTTAAAGATCTAAGCATCTCTAGTCTTTTGATAAGCACACACTTTTGTTGTATAGGTGTGAAAATGAAAAAGCTAGAGAAAATGATAATGAAAAAGAAGATGAAGAGGTGGTGGGATAAAAAAAAAAGGAAATGAAGGGATAAAACATTTTACACTTACCAATTCGTGTGAACATCAAATTAACATAAGTGTGAACATTCCATAATTTTAAAAATTGAGACTAATTGAAGAAAGAAAATGTATTAAAAAACAACTAAATATTTGTTTTTAATATAAGGATAAAATACTAATTAAACCGATATAAAAAATTTGTTATTAATGTATATAATATTTTTATTCTTCCACTAAAGTGGTTATTTTAAAATAAGTATTAAGATAATTATAAGTATTAACATAATTTGAAATAAGTTTTTTTTTCTTTGTATAGTGGTCTATTATATAATTTTAGTAGTATATTTTAAATTATTGATATAACCATATTAAATCAAGATTTTATCATAATCAAATATGATATTGGAGATAAAATATAAGTAAATATGGTTTTATCTTTAGGTAGTTATTAGTTAATTTGTCATTAATAACTTTTTCATAAGATATCTTAGTCATATTCTAAGTGTATCAAGTTCAGTTAGGTATCCAAGCTCCTAATTTCGAAATGTGAGTAGTTTGTATTTTATGTGGATTACCTCTTTGATTTGATTTTATTTTTTGTTGAGGTATTTGTCGCTATGCTTGAGTTTAAAGTTACCACTAATTAATTTTCTATAACAATGTGTCATTTTATAATAGATTTTTTGTTTGAATTAATGAAGTAATGACCATATATGCTATCACAGAGTAATAATTTTCAATGCAATATTCTTAATTAAATATTTTTATTGATCCCAAAATAAGAAAACTTATTGAGTTGCAACATTTTATTTCATAAAGCTTGTACTAAAATGTTATCATCTCTCTAAAATAACACTTTAGGTACTGTTCACCTCCTTTTTATGTTCAGTTTTTTCTAAACCATGTTTAAAACATTCTTTTCCACCACTAGTCTAAATAGCTCCCTCGTGCCAATCGTTCCTTAGTTGAAAATCAAGTTTTTAACCTAAGGGATGTTGTTAATCTTCGATTTAGGGCATCTATTATAAATGTTCCTTTTGATATCAGGACTTGACAAAGATGAACTCCTCCATCGTTATCGTGATAGCAATTTAGATCATTAATATATCTAATTAATTAAATTACAACTAAAAGCATATATTTAATAAATGTTTATTTTATAGAGATCATAAATGATATTTTAGTTCATTTAAAGAATTAACATTTTAAAATATTGAAACTTTAAAAAATAATAGATAAATATTACATAAATAAGTCATGATCTTTATTATGATCGCTTACAATTATTTATATTCTTTTCTCTTTATCTTTATCATAAAAGAAAAAAAAAACTTAAAATACTTTATAGAAAAAAAGATTATATACTAGTCTACGTCATTCTCAATTATCAATCCAATTATGCTTCTAATTTTTTTTTTGTTATAAAGAGAATTAAAAATTATTCTATTCAAAAAAATGTTTATTACCTATTAATTATTAATTTATGTATTCATAATCTACCACATCATTATCACATCATTGTAGTTGTGAAGGATTTTTCTAAGTAAAAAAATATGAAAATAAGAAAATCATTTAAGTAGAATTAATACCAAAAAGCAAGTAGATATATAAAACAACTCAAAATATAATTATTAGAGAATTGAATTGTGGTTGAAAACTTTTTTGAAATATTTTTATAAAACTTCAGCTGATAAGTACTACCAGACAAGGTTTATCTCTGACAAATTATTTGTCAATTAATTTTCTTACGAAATATTTTATAATTGAGTGGTGAAGATTGTCATACACTCTTTTAAATGGGACAAACATTTTATAATTTCTTTTTTTCAAAACTTATTTTTAGCCATAAGTTTGACGAGGATTAATAACATAGAATTTGAGAAGATAAGAGATAAGAAATATTTATTTAAGATATTTTTATATTAGTTTGTTCGTAAACAACAAACTATTTCCGGTTCTTAATCAATATATCGAATTACAATAAACTAATGTCATGAAAATATATACTATTTGGATAGCAGTTACTCCTAAGTAAAATAACTTAAATATTATTTGAATATGTAATTACTTTTGGCTAAAAATTCGAGTATTATGTGGACCTGAATGACTCTTGACCGATTGTTAACACATTGATCATTGATGCAGTTTTGCATAAATCATGGATTGTAACTTCAACTATAACACAGGTTGGAGTTGTCTCAATAGATATCGTGAAATAATATTATTTATAATTTGCTTTCTTTCCACATATATGAATCCTGAAAACTACAAGCAGAATACTTCCAGACGTAAAACAGTGAACAATTATATATAATTCAATAATTTTACATAGAAAGATAATATATAGTCTACCTAGTCTAATTTATTTTACAAAGATATAATAAATTTCACATAAAGTCTTTCTTATGTATGCAGTTGAATGCAATTAACAACCATACAACAATGTCATTAACGATGGAAACCATAAATCTCAAATAGAAAAACTAATTACTCAATAACAACAATTATAAATAAGCTGAATTTAAAAATACAATAAACCAATTTTAAAAATAATAAATAATTCAACATACAAAAAGTATATTAAAAAACATATTTAAAAAAGAAGTAATTCAAATAATACAAAATATAATCATATCAAAA